ATTCAGAACCGGCTCGTTTTTTTTTTTTTAAAGAACCAGAACAACTTCTAAGTTTCAGTTCCGAAAACGGTTCTGGTGCGACACGTGACCAAGCTGTGAGCAGCCTTGCGCCGGCGTTTCCCGTAAAGGATGTCACAAACCAAATAACAGAAACGCCGCCCTGCCTCTTTAATTACTGAGCACATTGTTTCCCATGACGCGCCGCGTCTTTAACTGCCGAACACATCATTTTCCACGACTGTACGCGCACTCACGTCTTTGATAAATGTGCACGTTTTGTCTGACTGTACACATACCGGCAGCACACAGCTCCTGCCGCCACTAAATTACATTTGTCCCATATTATCATTAAAATACATACTTCAACTTACGTACTTCAACTTGGACCACTAAATAAATAGACTGCTATTGTTATGCAAGTATGAGGGTTACATTATTTAGTGTACAGGTCATTTCAAGAGTGATAAACAGTGATAGAAAATATTTTCATGCATTTTAAAGGTTTAAAAATGTGGAAACCACTCATTGCATCACCATGTCCTGACTGCATTATTATTGTAAAAAACATCAACTTTGAAGCACATGCATTACTCAACATTACTTACTACCTTCCAGCAACACTACATTCAATTAAGGTAAAATAGTAAAAAAAAAAAAAAAATAATAGTTCTTTTAAATGGAACCGGAATCGTTAGGCAAAACTGGAACCAGAATCAGAACTGGAAAATTTCTAACGATACCCAACTCTACTTGAGGGGACATTTTCAGAGAATAAACATCGAGAAAGTGGACAACCCTTGGAAACGTTGACAAAATCTGTCTTCCTGCTGCAGTGGAGAACATCAGCTTTCACATCCTGCAAGCCTCAAAAGACCCTATATGCGTCATGATATCAGGGTTAAATGTAAAGTACATACTGCAACAACATGGGAAGAAACCGAAAGGCTTGTTTCCAACTTAACTACACATTAGGCAACATCAATCAGTGTGGTTAACCCGACCACAAACAAACATCCTAAGAATTAGAAAGAAAGAGCATCACGTGGCAAAGGGGATCAGTCCAAGTTTACAACTATGAACACAGTTCAAATATTTACAACTACAACATAGCGCTCGACCAATATGGATTTTTGGGTAGCCAACGAAGATATCCTTCAAGGTTTGTAAAAAATTAAAATGTTTGTTAGATATTCAAGGCCTTGTTTAAATTATGAACGCGCATTTGCTGAATTATAATGGTGGACGAGGAATAACATTTGCACTTTCTATTACTAATCAAAGCAAACAATAGACAAAAAATGTTCATACAAGTTTACATTAACAGTTCTAATAATAAGACAATTGTTAAACAGATACAGTAAACTAATGAAGACAGAATGTGAGCGTCGTGCGAGCTCAGGGATAGAATTAAAACTCCTCCTGACATAGTCAATACTGATAATTAACAAATCCCAAATATCAGATGACACGTCAGTTGACCACTAAGAATCTATGCACACAGTGGCACTGGGAACAAGTGTAATAAATTGAAACAAAGCAAGAGGATAATTTGCACACCAGTAAATGCTTTTAAAGCTAGAACATTATTATTGTGACCATAAAATAAAAAAATAAAAAATAAATAAAAAATCAGTATTAATATAGCAGCCTGTTTTTAAATCACTAAATTTATGTTATGACAGTTATCACAAACTTAAACTCACTGAATTGCATTAGGTAGGCCTACTTTATCTGAAAAATTATATTAATTAATACATTTATAACCATCTACATAAGTATATTTGGAAATCTGCTTACAGTTTTGGTAAAGATCTGCAAAACATATTTAAACATTGTAAAGTGCCTAAAATCAGAAGGTACAACAAGTGTATTGGCAACTGAATTAACGTGTAAAGAAATTCCAGAACTTAATCTTACATTTGAGGACGCTGCAGGTTATTCCAAAATGAACAAATTTGTCAAGTGAATTGAACTTCTACAGATGTCCCACGGTCACGGGTGCAGAGACTGTGTGAATCAGAACACAGCTCAAGTCACATGCACTCCAGAGCTCTTGTGCTAAATTGCAACCCTCTGGAAGTAGGTTAAGTGCTGGTTCTCAGCTGGATGAGCATCCAGGCTGTCTGAGAACATACGGCTGAGTGAGAACAGCTTTTAATGATGAAGCTACAGAATCACAGTGTCATCCTTCAGTCACCAAAAAAAAACACCTGGGTACAATACAGCATTCTAAAGCACTACTGTAGCAGAATATTTCGACATGACCTCCAAAATATAACACCAAGAGCTCCATTCACATACAGGTATTTACAGGAAACCTTGCTTATGATAACATCCTGCAGTCAGCGCTGGACATTCCTTTCCTGTGTGTGTGTATGTCTGCATGACACAAGATACAGCACTTCAAATACAGGCCTGCACTGAAAGACCCCGCTACCGGGAAAAACATCGCTGTGAAGCCGTGCCAATGTTAATAAATTAGGCTTTTTAAGGGTGCATGTGAAGGCAGAGGGATGATTTGAGAGCAAACAGAGGCAGCTGTGGTAGTTTATGCAAAATGCATGTGTAGTCCTCCACAGTGGTGAGACTGACCTGGAATTAATTTACCAGACAATAAACACTGAAGGGAGTCAGACACAAATTTACTGGGTTTTCCTTGCGGCACCAGTCAGCACTCCATACAGGCGCACGGGAGGCGGACGTTCAGACGAATCACTGTGTGATTATGGGACAGATTTAGAAACTGAACCTTCAAAGTAAAGGAAGGCCATCTGATTAGCCATCTTAATGGGCTCATTTATGGTTTATTCACTGTATCCTGTTAACAGAAGCTGAAATGCTGCTGCACAGGGCCGGTGCAAGCAAAGCGGTTTACAATTAGTGCTGTCAAATGATTAATCTCGTCCAAAATAAACATAATTTTTTACATAATGTGTGTGTAGTGTCAGTGTGTATATTTATTATGAATATATAAATACACACATGCATGTATATATTTAATAAAAAATTTTCCTATATTAAATATTTATATATAATATAAATTATATTAATATAAATATACATGTAAATATTTTCAATATATATACACTGTGTATTTATATATACATAAATATACACAGTACACATACAAATATTATGAGCACAAAAACTTATTTTGGATGCGATTAATCGCTTGACAGCACTATTTACAACAGCCATTCAAGAAGTGGCTCTCTGGTAGTTTTGGGTGGATTGTCCCTTTAAGACCATTTATTTCATTACAAACTCCTATGTTGATCCAAAATCTTAGTATTTGTTGAGGACACAAAATAACAGATTATAAACAGAACTGACAGCCCCGTTCTTTGAACGCTAACTATTTCTTATATATTAAATTCCACTGAATCTTTTTTTTTTTCCCTCAATACAATGAACAATGAAAGTGAATATACTACTTTTGGCAACAGGTTTGAAACATAAGGGCGAGTGACAAGTTTTGTTTTTGGGTAAACTATTCCTTTAAACAATCTTTAGTTGAAAGCATTTGATATAATTTACAAAAGCAAACATGTATATCTATTAGACAAGCAATATCTTCGGTTTGCTGAAAGCAGCAGAAACACATCCTCAGTAAACAAGCCCAATTATGTTCCAGAGGCGATAATATTCTTAGGTTCTTCCATAAACCCGGCATTTCTGCGTATTATGGGAACCGAGGTTGTTTTTAAACCGACTGCTGCGGGTATTTCCCACACAGGTACGAAACCCAAAATACGCTCGCCGCTAAAATCGCGACCACACACGCGTAATCGTGGAAAAGTTTCGGCCTTCTTCAGTTTCCACCGCGCACGCTGCCGTCGGACTTTAGCCCCGCCCACACTTCCTCCAGCGGAGAGGCGCACGGTGGCTGATCTGAGGTCAGCTCTACCGAGCCTCTCAAGGTGGGTACGTCTAACTAAAGTGTGTGAAACAGCTGTTCCGGAGTCTGGGAGCAGAGAAACCCGAGCCCCTCCTGAAAGCACGCAGGAATTCGGCCATCAGGGTCTTTGTTTCGAGGAAGAATGAACCCTGAAATGTTTCGACATGACCACTTGCAACCGGCCTATCGGATGACAGAGAAATGCGATTATAATTATAACATCACACCAAATCTGTGAAGAGACAAAACCAGGACAATTCCTGTAGCAAAAGCTTACTCTTTTCCTGACAAATCATGGATATCCTCTCAAACAAAATGGAATTGACAATCCATCCAGCAACACTTTAAGAAAACAACTTTAGACAATATAACTAATTTCAACGTTAGCTCACTTCAAATTGAATTAGGAGTTTCACATTACACTATTTTCAAGTTGACTAACATGTACATAGTTATGCAACAGAACAAAACATATTTTACAAATAAGGAAAAATTTTTCTTCATTCTCACGAATTGACAACACTATTGCATTTCTTGCTGACATAACGTTACTTTCACCCAACTGACTTGGCAATCTTACAGACGACAACAATCAAAATCGATCGGCTGTTTTCATTATTTGTAAAAGACAAACTAACTTACACAAATAAAAGTTCCTCGATAACTTACGTCACGTCTGACGACATAAACTGTTGAAGCTGAGGAAACTAACGTTAAATCACGATGCGGTTAAAAAACAAGGGTATACTAGTGTGTTTTGTTTTTACCAATATTGTGGTTTATCGATTGAGATCTGCTGTTTGCTCGCTGCTCGAGCTATAGACCTGAATGAAAGCTAACGTTAGCCAGTGTTTGCGGAGCTACCGTAAACAAACACAAGAGTCAATGTGCGTTGTGCATAAACCGGCAATTTAGAAGAAAACAAGTATAAAATAAAAAGTAAAAACCTAAACGAGGCGTTTTTAAATGCTCAGCTCGCGGAAGGTAGATCCAGCCTCAGGTTGAGCATGGAAAACCCTGGGAAGATCCTCCTGATGCTCCAATCTCCAAACTAACGTTACTAGGAGTTGAATCATTCCGCGTTTAAAACACTTAACGTTACCTGAAATTAAAAAGATGAATCCCTTTGTTTGGCCGGCGAAGCCTGACCAACGCGTCGGTATCCAAGTAGGAATGAAACAGCCAAGCCAGCCGGTGAGATTCCCGGACGGGTCGCTGTTCTCCTGCGTTTAGCGGTGCAGCAAACCTTCCGCGCTGGTGTGAATCTAGACCTTAAAATGGCGTCGCTCAGACGCAGCTCTTATACGAGGAATGTAGTTCATGTATCCTACCGCACCCGAAAAACTAGGGCGCAGCAGCGGCTTAGTCCGGCATGAAGCTAAGCGTTAGTATTATATGTGTAAAGTGACAAGTGATAATCATCAAATACTTTTTTATATTCCAAGAACCTCGTCTGAGGTCTAGATGTTTTTTATTCGACACCGGGAATGTGGTATGCGCGGAGTAATATAGCAGCCACAGGAAGGGCGAGGTGCGTCCATTAGGTTGGAATGTGGTTGTTTTGAATGGGATATCGGGAGCAGCTATACAAAGGTAACATTTGTATTAGGGATACAGCAAACGCTGCTCATGCTGCAGGATGGTTAACTTAAGTTACACCGTTTTTTCCCTTTTTGTATTATTACAAAATTTCTTGTAACATTTTTATACTGCTTTATCTTTGTTAAATCATTAGGACCAAACGGACACTGAACACTGTAACAGTTTGCTCATGGCAGAGTAGACCTACAACTGTCACTGTATATTTTGTGGTTAATGAAGAGTGTTCGCCATTTAATTTAACTGGAATAATAAGTCAGTTGGGGGGGGGGGGGTGAACAATATTCTTTTGACTTCAGTAAATGTAGGCTAGCTGTTTGCTTTTAAACGTTTTTTCCTTTTGTGATTTTACTTAGGCCTATGTAGCCTAAAATAATGTAATTTCCTGTTTTCAAAGGCATTTAACAATTCAAATCCAACCTAAAAACAGCACAATATAAACGAATGAAGGCATAAAAAAAGCACAAATGCTGTATAAATATTTTTTTTTTAATGTTTTTATTATTTTAACAATCAAAGATGAACAAAATTCATGTCCTTCTGAAATTCACATATCATGTTTAAAAACTGGCAGATTAAAATATAATTATTATAGAATAAGGAACACGCATACAGACTCCAAATGAGAAATTAATAAATGTATTGAATAAGATAATAATTGAGACTTACAGACTTAAACAGCAGCTGTCACACTGAGAGTGATGATTAAGGCTGCAGTTTAATCACTGTGTATTCTGCAGATGTTTTGTGTGTGTGTGTGTACACTCCTCATTCATGTCACTATTCAACATGCAGAGGTAAAAAAAAAAAAAAAAGTATTGAATAAGATAATAATTGAGACTTACAGACTTAAACAGCAGCTGTCACACTGAGAGTGATGATTAAGGCTGCAGTTTAATCACTGTGTATTCTGCAGATGTTTTGTGTGTGTGTGTGTACACTCCTCATTCATGTCACTATTCAACATGCAGAGGTAAAAAAAAAAAAAAAGTAGCCTATTTAGAACTTCTGACAAGAAAACATCAATTTCCCTTACTATAAATGTTAAAAAGGTGACGACAAGCACAATTACATTCAACAGCAAGTAAATATACTTTTAATAGGAATATACAGACTGTAAAAATAGCACCTTTGACTGTTTACATAACATGCCTCAGGATGGATGCAATTCAGAGATCACATTGTTTTACAGATACAAACACTTAATTTGTGTTAGCATGTTAATCTTACATTTGAAAAAAATTCTTTCATTAAAAAAATTAGTCCAGTGTAACAAAACACCTGGAAAATGTCATCAGTTTATTAATTAAAAGCATTAGTGTTTGTAAGTGCTTGTGTGTGTGTTTCCATATCACCCTCCAATGGTAATTGTGTGTGCAGATTTTGGGGAGTGGCCACACTAAGTGCTTCTGAATGGTGGGAGTGCCCTTAACAACTTTAAGTGCTTTATGCCTTTCATCAGGCCAACCCCCACGACCCGCCAAAACAGATAGGATCTCTTATATTATGGGCCTGTTCACCTTAAATAAATACATCAATAAAACTCTATAGGGCTGGTAATTGCATTATTATGAAAATGATTTGATTTGGAAATGAAATCATTACCACATTTAAAAAAAAAAAAAAAATTCTTATGTTGCTGTTACATAATGGAATATAAATAAAAAAAATACATGCAGCTTTATAGTTAAAAGAAAAGAAAGCTACCCATTTTTTTATTTAGCTGTTTTTTTTTCTTTTGGTAAGAAGTACACCTCACTTTCAGTTCATGCTGAGAGAACCATGTGTGAGGTAGTCAACCAAAACTCGAACATCATATTTTAATAACCTCTTCCTGTTCCCTCTTTCCCTATACGCCATTCCCCAGTACAGACTTGCCAAATTCACTGCGGCCTACAGAATCTGTCCGTCTACCCTCACAGGCAGATACAGAAATAATACCTTAGAAATATATTGATTTTGTTACATCTTACAATTTTGCTTTGAGCATTTTAAGGAAATATTTATTTATTTATGTATTTATTTATTTATTTTATATTGGAGTGGATCTGATGCCATTTTAGCGTTAAACAAAAATATACTTTTAGCATGAACCATTTTAACATTAAAGTACAATTATAAAAGTAATTCTGGAGTTTACAAACATTTAAAAACCTAATCAACAATTTAAATATGAGATGTAAATCGAAACGGTGTTATAAAATGGCATGACAAATAATCCACGATTCATTCATTTTTAGGCAATAAATTACAATTGCTGCAAACATATTTTCTATAACTAATTATTTCACTGTATGAATAGATTATTTGTTTGTCATAAATTAAAGAATTAAAAAATGCATATCTATTTAAGATTTTCTTTATGATGTGGTTTATCAGACAAATATGGAACAAAAATTAATTATCAAAAGCTTATATTATTGTTATCATTACTCTCATCACATTCTCTTTTTATGTAATACAAATGACACAGTCCCACATCAACATTGTGTATCCTCAGGAAATCAGTGAGACTGAGGCCTTTGTAATGAAGATTAGCAACAGATCGATTGCAGATGGTATGCAATAAAAAGGAGAGAAATTATCTATATTGATGCCACGTTAGCTTCACCTTATATCACATTTACATTTACAGCGTAAACGCCACAGAAATCGAAGGAGGGCTCCTCGAGTCATCTTAATATAGACTCCATATCTTGTTCTGCTTTCACAGAACTGTGTTTGTCATTTACTTTTTTTTGGAGGGATCTTCTTAAAAACCAGAGCACACCTTAAACCTAGCAGAAAATCAATCAACTCTCATCTCCTCGCCTTAAAAGGTGGGGATGTGTGTGTGTGTGTGTAAACAGCAGAACAGATGTAAGGAATCGGCCGCTTCGTATACAGCTTTGACAATCCTGCGCTTCACTAAATAAACTCTTGTGTGTGGTTGGTTTAAACATTATTCATGCAATATTGTCATCTGCATGCTTGTGAACATATCATAGGGTATTGTAATGAACAAACAGATGCAGCTTGGATTAAAATCCTCTCGGTCTGTCCTTTTTTGGCATGTGTTTTCTCACTAAGCAGAGATTCCTGATGGAAGTATATATATTCAATACACTATACAGAGACTTTCCCATTGGTCTCATTTATACACTGCTTGACTATTGTCCTTTTTTCTCTCTCATCCTCTCCAATGATCTCATCCTCTCCTTCTGCTCATGCTCAGTTTGCAGACACATACTCTCTCTCTCTCTCTCTCTCACACACACACACACACTAGTTTTTATTATATTTTCTTGTATATATATTTTCTGTCCAACTTAGCTAAATCAAACCCTCACATATTGCGTAGTGACATTTTTTTTTTAATTAAAGCATCCTTTAGTAAGCTGTTTTTCTCATGCAGACCACTGACTGACTGGTAAAAAAAAAAAATACCACAATGTAAGGGATTTCAGTGTTTTACTATAATTTCCATTTGGTCCTCAATGCAGGCGCAACCTAAGCTTAAAATTTTAATTCAATATAATGAAAATTCAAAAGTGCTCAAAATAATCATTCAAAGTGCTATTTATTCAGTCTTATGAAATCCATTTCATTACATCATATGCAAGCTGAATCCATTATCATCATACAAATTAATTTTGCCATCTTGGTTTCTACATCACATACTGCATTTCAAAAATATTCCACATCTGTTGATCTTTTCATTGTCAACTCTTGAACACTGTGATGTGCCTGAATAATATATCTTCATCGTTGATTTCTACTCCAAACACACGACAGTAAAACATTAGCATAGTCGAATGTATTCAAGCAAAATCTTACCCATAATAAAGTGCAACTTCTTCCATTCCTGATGGGTCAGATTCACATATTAGCAACCCAGATATTCACCTGCAGTATATATAAAAAAGTATTAGATTTACAGCATATAACCCAAAAACAGAGAATCTGAGAGTGACTGTGGTTGCTCACGTTCACTGTTCGCATCCATTTCTGAGTTCATCTCTTGTTTCTCCTGGGATAGAAGGGGCATATGCACGCTCCAGGAGGGGTGGGATGGCGGGGGTGGCACCCTGAAATTTTAAGCTTAGTTTTCTAAGCTCTTTTTGTCGGGAAAAGACGCCACAATCTGGGCCTCTTCTCCCCAGGAGCCATTAGGCATGGTTTGGTGGCCAGCGTGAAAGGAGTACAAGGACTTGGCACAAAAGGAAAAAAAAAACTTTATGCTCTTTCTTGGAAAAGAGGGCTTCAGATATATTTTTTGTGCTTTTCGGCAAATGACGCAACCCTGGAGTTTTGGTAATGTGTGAGCTGAGAAGTGAGGGGGCTCGGCTGGCATGGCTCTTCAAATGAACAGCGGGACGTTTGGCCAGAAAAGAATGCAGGATTATGCTTGGATAAGGAGTCTGGATAAGCCTATATCTACATTATTTCTATTTAGCAGTCTCTATTCATTGTGTTTATCACTCGTTCTCCATCCATATTTTGCACACATGCCTACAAACAAATGCACACTCTTCTCTGCACTGGATTCATGATATTATAGGCCTTTTTGAGGCCTGTTCTCACCAAATGTGTTCTTGCGTTTGAAAAAAACGCGAGACGGATCGAAGCAGAATTTTGAAAGGCTTATGCACAGTACAATGAATAAGTTGAGCAATGGTGGATGTTCACAA